GCCAGCTCCTTGAGTACCCTGGGGTGTAGATTGGCAGGGCCGGCTGACTTGAAGGTATCCAGCTTCTCAAGGTGTTCCTTCACAAGGTCAGCTTTGATGGAGGATAGGGGATCTCCCTCACCTGGACCGCCCTGTCCTGTAGCGGGCATGGGCGTCCCATGGGGCTGATGAAAGACTAATGCAAAGCACCCATTTAATAGGTTGGCTTTTTCCTGGGCGTCAGTTGCCCCATCTGGTTCCGCAGGGGTCCAGTGTTGCCCTTGCTTTTCCTCCAGCTCCCCACATCTATAAAAGGACTTTTTATTGTCCTTGATGCTCAAAGCTAGTTGGAGTTCAGTTGCAGCCTCAGCTTTCCTGGTTTGCTCCCTGCAGGACCGGTAAGGGTATGTAAGCAATACTGGTGCACTGCAGACAGAAGCAGAAGAAAATACATTTCATAGATATACTCCAAACCTCGTGCATCTCAGGAATCCAGGGGAGAGTCCAACACCCTTTCCCATGTGCAGGGAAATTGCTGCTGTCCTGAAGGGAAGCTTGCAGAGATCTCTGCCTTCTCAATGCCCAGATTGTATGAGAAGAGGGCACACGTTACAGGTCCGAAGAAGAGACAGGGCTTGCCTTACCTCTGTCTGTGGCACTCCTTACACTTGGTTTTCTTTCCACGCATGTTTGAGTGCCTTGCTACCCTTCCGCAGCCATTTCGTCATCTGCAATTGGCAAAGTTTAGGTAACAAATAGAAGTTGTCTAGTTGGACTTTGGAGCCCAGAGGACACCCATGCTACACCCCAGGATACTGAGCCTTTGCCTTAAACACAGTGCTCAACCTATCAGGCCTCTCACTGCCCCATCTAGAGCACATACTATCCACCCACAAGGCTCTCCATAGGTTTGGAAATTTGGCAGCAGGGGAAGAGCAATTAACACTGCCACCACTCCCCACCAGCAAATTTTTCAGACCTGTGGGCTGGATGATGTGGCTCCAAAGGCCAAATCTGGCCCATGGGGCAGGGGTTGAGCACCCTTGCCTTAACACTACCATGCATCTATGCCCACATGCCAAGGCAATCTGCCTCTACAGTCCCTGCTTCTACCAGGTCTACCCTAAACTGCTGTTTTGCAGGTCCTCCTCCAGGAAAAGGGACACACAACAGAAAAGGGGTACACCAGTACTTGCAGGTTAAATGGGGTACCAAGCTTCTTCCAAGAAACCTATAAGACCAGCCCATCAGGGCAGGGTATTATCATAGAATCATAGAAGTCGGGTCGGAAGGGACCTTGTAGATCTTCAAGTCCAACCTCCCGCCTGGGTGGGAGAAAAAAACTGGACTCAAATGAGTCCAGCCAGGTAGGCATCAAGCCTCTTCTTAAAGATCCCCAAGGTAGAAGCCAGCACCACCTCCCTTGGAAGTTGGTTCCAGCTCCTAGCCACCCTAACTGTGAAGTAGTTCTTGCAGATGTCTAATCTAAACCTATTAGAGCTAAGCCCTGAAAAAGCATAAGGTTAGTTAGAGAAAGTCTGCAGAGAGTTACTTGTAAATGGATCTTAGAAGTGATGAGTATTTAATAGAACTGTTTGAAGATGGTTAGGATGTGTCATGCTGGCTTTGCCAGCAAAGGTAACACCAGTGGTCTGCCCAAACTAGGAGGTGGACAGCTGGGACAAAGGTGAGGTGGCAAAGTCAGAACATGGGAAGCTAACGACTGTCAAACGTGTCAGGCAGTGCAGTGAATCAGTGGAGTGCTCTTGAATCTGGGGTCATGGTGAAAGCAAGAGGCTGAGGTCTCCAAAGCTGCTGGGGACAGGCAGCATTTCTGACCAGATCACGAGCAGTATTCACTGGCTCTGAACAGTGCAGGAAACAGAGAAAGAGCAATGGAGGCTGCAGGCCACACAGGTGGACCTCCAGGAGGAGAAGGAGAGCTTCAACTGGAAGAGGAGACCTCTGTCACTTCAGCTCCATCCGGTCTTTCTTCAGTTCTGGCAATAACCCCCGAGAACCCAAATCACAGAAATAAAAGGATACAATACAATGCGCTCTCAGATATATTTGTACAAAGATCCCAGAGAGCTTTTATACAGCTGAGGGCACTGGTGAGAGGAAGTTTTCTGTTTATGCCAAACTTCATTTTATTTATTTTACAAACAAAAATATACATGACTCTGTTTTCAATCTCCCCTTCCCTGCCCAACACAGACAAGCACTTCTGCCCACAGAAGTACTACATACACACAGACATACAGCGGGAATACAGTCAGTCCTTGACCTAGTGTGGAAGCTCCTTAGCAGCACAATGTGGGACATTGCAAGGAAACACTGGACTTCGGGGGGGGAGAAGATACTTGTCCCATCCAGAAAGGAGTGGATGGATGCACTTGGCAGCTGGTCCTTCTGCATTTCAATCAGCCAATGATAGGCAGAATTCACAGACTGCTCTTACTTCACTGAGGAAGAGACACAAGCAAGCCTTCATTTTCAGAGTCCTGGACTCTCATCCTTTGTTCTTCATGACGGGACAATTCTGTCCCCCACCCAGAACAAGACCCTCCTACTCCCGAGTTGGCTTGTACAGCCCTGCCTACACAGCGGAAATTACGCTCAAGTTCCCCACCGTTGCTAACAGTGGTTCATCTCCACGGGCTTCAGCCACCAGGGCAGCACTCACACAGACAGGCCACCAGCCATTCAGACACCCTGTTCTGTCACCTAACCCTGCTCTCATCAGCCTCCACAGACCACTATACCGGGGTCCCAATGCAGCTAATGCAAGCTACAGTAGGAAGCTACAAGGTTTCCCTGGTGGGATAAAGGCCCATCTGGACAAGCGCTCAATAAAAGTCTCAGAGCACATTCCCAGGCACCTGCTGTTGTCATCACCACATGCTGTGGAAGTCTACAAGGCTCTGAGGAGCCAACATGGTGCAATGAGGTCTCTTTGAAAAGTAAATACAAATAATAAAGTAAAAAGCATACATACACTTAAACCAAGTGTCTCTCCCTTTGGCTCCCAGGGCTGCTTAGAGACCCGATGGCTAGAAAACAAAGGGAACAGAATACCCTGACCCTCACAGCGAGGTTGTACTCATCAACTAGAGAAGCCAAGTGCCTGCATGGCAGTAGCAATGCACACACACTCCCTGTTGTCACCCCTCAGGCTTCCCACTCCCTTATTTGGGAACACTTGGAAGCGAACTACACCCACTAACCTCCTTCAGGATTCAAACCCATACTCCAGCACCACACAACAGGAAGGATATTTGCTTCCTTAACTATCCCCAACTGCCAGGATCCAGAAATCAGCAGTCAAAGAAGAGGCCCATAAAATTCATACATGTTGAAAAAAACCTCAACTTGCCATTTCCAATTAAATGCAGCTAATTCGCATATCAGATCCTCCACGTACCTGGAGGTCTCCAGTCAGAACAGCATTTCTAACGCTACCAACATAAATCTATTCACCACTGGTGGGTGCAAATCGCATCCCAGAGGTCCCACAAGCCCAGCTATGGAAACCTTAAGTAGAACAGCCATGGGGTAGGAATGCGATGGGATCCATGTCAGGCTGGTCAGATGTAAACCCTTCTTTCCAAGTAGAAGAGGTTAATGGCAAGACCTCAGAGAATCTATATACAGACCAGCAGGGAAGTCCAAAGTCATACGGTTTTTAAATGTATCCAGCTACAGCACCTATTCAGGCCAATGTGATTGTGCCAGGGGCCCAAGCTACAACACAGCACAGATCAAGAGAAGCTGCTACAGAAGCAGTAGCAGTTTGTCTACTTCCCATTTACCTCCCAAGCTAGAACACTCGTTGTCTTGACTCTAGCCACTTTGTTGGCTTCCCAGACCTCTCCAGGTATGGGATGCTAGCAGCTGAGGCTCATCTTCGGCTTTCGCTCTGCCTCAGGCCTCTGATCTCCTCTGCAGCCTTCATTTTCAGAGCCAGCCTTCTCCTCTGTAGCCCTCTTGGAGCTGGGGGACCCTCCAAAGCAGAGCACAGACCTGTAGTATGCCCACATGGCCAGTTTGAGTGTGAAAACTCAACCCCAATTCAGTGTAAAGCACATAACTGCATGTCACGGAGAAGTCAAGCTGCAAGTCCAGTTATACAGCAGCACATTCTTCAGAGATGCTTCCTCCGTTGTTTGGTCTCAGTTGACCAGCCATGTTAGGTCTTTTACAGTCCCCCTATTCTTTACTCAGGATATATCAGTCTCACAAGCCTGTAAAATATGACCCTGGTCTCGGGGCACATTTAACAGTTCAATCATCATTGTACTTCCTCACTCCACCCCTCACCCCCTTCCCCAGCTAAACACTCAATGCAATTCCCATTATACTGCATTTCATGATTTGTATGTGTATCAACCAGAGCTGGGAGCAGCTCTGCTTTTCCAAGCTTCCTCACCAGACACTGCTTTTGCTAAGAGCTTGAGCAGGTTGATTACAATACTATTTGGGAAGGTGGGCCTGCTGAGAAAGCCCAAAGTGCCTCTGGGTTCATGCACAGAATGCTTCCTCTGGCTGCTCTGGTGCCTAAATCTCAGTCCATGCACCCCAAACCCATCCACCTCCCAGTCAAATAAGTGCTTTCAGACATTCAAAGAGGAAAGTGGATCGTCAAGGCCCATCTTCTGGGTCTCATCCATCTCTGGAACACTCAGGAAGGTTCTGCACAAAGGTATTTGTGAATACAGCTGGTCTAGGCCATTTTCATGTGAAGACAACGCATGTCCTTCTGGGAGGGTCAGAGGAGTTGTCTATTTTTTTCCACAATGGGATGACAACACCCCAAGGAAAGAGGGGAAAGCCACACCAAATAGCTGAGGATCAATTTCCAATGCACATCCTAGCAACTGTGGGATCAGAGAGGTTGGAAGGAAGGGAATGAGGCATTGCAAAAAGGGGGTGTGGGTTGCTTCACACATTGATGGCTTTCCAACGGTCACTATCAATGCTGTTGATGCTGCCCACGTGGTAGGGCATAGAGGCAACATCATCCAGATAGGCTGTGGTGTCAATTTGGGTGCTGGAGTAGAAGCCGGAATCCATGCCCTCTTTCTTGGCCACAGCGTAGGCATGGGGGAGGTGCACATCAACATCCTCAGGTTCATCCACTTGGCATTTGTAGGAGAAAAGGATCTTTGGCTCAGACCTGGAGTCAGGAGGAAGGATAGAGAGTTAGAAAGCTGGTGAAGGTGGCGTCATGTCAGCACAGTGACCTCTCCAGCAGGGAAGCAGCAACAACATGGAACCCCACACTTAGGGACCATTGGCCACATCCATATGAACTCCACCATCCCCTCACCAGGAGGGTGCTAGACCAAAGCAGCAGGGGGGTGGCACAGCTCTGGAGCAAAGTACATTGACAGAGCTATGGCTGGACAACCAGGGCTGTAAGTAGGTACGTGGGATATCTGTTCTTATTTTTACTGCAGTGCACTGACTTCCTCAATACAAACAATGAGGTCCTGATGCCAAAGTCACCAATGGGTACTCTGCCATCATCTCCAATGGAATGGGATTCATGGGACTTGAAAGGTTTGGATCAGGACATTCATCTCAAAAGTAGATATTTCCATCTAGAGCCAATACCAAACTTTGCTCCTTTCAGACTACAAAGCAGAGAGCAGAGCAACAGTTCAGCCCCATGAAGATTTAGGAATCTGCTGCTTCCTGTTTATCAGCATGCTTGTACAGTTTGATCTGATCTGTTCAGGAGACATCAGTAGGGTGAAGACACTGCACTGCCTCCAGCAGGCCACACGGGGGCACCTCAAATCCAAGAATCATGCTTCAGAGGTTCTCAACCTCTCAGGGGAGCCCTTGCAAAATGTCAGCTCTTAACCTTCACTTGGGGTTTGTTTTTTTTTCTGACTACAGAAAAATAATAGAGCAATTCTTCTGTTGTAAAGGATTCAAAGATCACAGCAGGTCAGAGCATGTTTGACAGTCTGGATTCCTATTTGAAATCTCTGTGAATCATGTACAGGGTCTTTGCACACCTATCAGTGAATCCAGGAGCCATGTTCTCTACTTAATCCAACTGTGGGAATCAATCACTCACAAAACACTTGACTAGTTAGCTCCTCAGTACCTAACAGTGAGTGCAAACATCGACAACTCGGCTCCTCATGAGGAGCTGGCATGTTTCCCATTTTATAGGGGAATGGAGTGTCAGAGAGAGGAAGAGACTTGACCAAGGTTACAGAGGCAGTAACAGAGCTAGGTTCTGTTCCTGAGGTCCAACCATGGCTTTTATTTTACAAGTGAGGCAAGTGAGAGACTAAGCAAGGTAAAAGAACTCCCATCTACTCACCCAAAGAAACCTTTCAGGAATGCCACGTAAATGAGAGGTGCGAAGAAGCTGAAGTAGAGGAATGTTGTGGCATCAACACAGCTGTCAGAGGCAAGAGGAAACATGAAGTTGTTAGCATCTCCTCACAGTACAGAAAATGGTTCCTGTGTGTAATAAGCAAACCCATGCCTTCAGGAAAGGATCACATTCTCTCCCAAGGATCCAAGGCACTGTGTGGGAGGCAGAAGGCAACGTCTTCTACTAACTAAGCATGCTCCCTTGGCCCAGATGAACAAGTTCTACCGCCAATGCTTTGCAGTTTCTCTCAGCCCAGAAAGTCCATGCTCAGCCACAGGAGAGCCCTGTCCCAAGAATGCCATATTCCCAGCATAAAAGACATCTCTGTGCTATTTCTGCATCTCCTGAGCGTGACCTCTCACTGGAAAACCCCAGGCAAAATGAAGCCAAGGGCTGGTCCTCACTGCTGACTCAATGCTGCCCCTCCCTTACACAGTAGGAGAATATGGAGAACACTTCTTGGAGGAGCTCTGCACATGCCTCCCTTACAACAGTGCAGCTTTGTCCTGTGTATTTCACAAAGAGGCATCTTGACAGTATTACTGTTAAACCTATGCCCACTGCTTTATTTAGGGGCAGCAGGGATGTTCCTTCTGTCCCAGTTATGGTTGTAGGCAAGCAAACTTTTCTGCTACCCCTAAATAAAGACTCATATTAAGTAAGTCTTGGCTAACCGGGCAACAGACTTTTCTTCCAGCTGACGATGCTGACAGAACCAGCCCCCCTGCCATACGTACCACAGTCCTTCTATGATATCCACGCAGAGGAGGGCACTGCCCAGGCCCTGCAGGAGATTCATCAGGGCAAGAATTCCAGCATAGACATAAAAACTCCTCCTCGCTGTGGGGGAGACAAGGATGCAAGGATGAAAAGATATCAGGTTCACCAGCCCCAGCTAAGCAGTTTATGATAGCTGCTGCCAGCTGAAGGAGGTGGCACAGCCTAGAGACATATCTCCAACTGCTGTTAGAAGAGACAGAGCTCTGGAAAGCTTGGGAATTACTTAAAGATCAACACCCCATATTTCTTCTCTCTATTGCCGGTAGCACCGTTGGAGGTCAGGAAGTGAGACAGCCACATACTATGACACTTATGGAGGAAACCACAGGTTCACATGCCAAGCAGCAGCAAGGGACTCCAACGGCTGTTGTTAGAATAACAGGCGCAAGCCTATCACTGCTGAACACATGGACCTAACGTTGGCGGCCTGTGACTGAACCAAAAGAGGCACTGTGGGTCAGCAGGGGAGCAAAAGCAGAGTTAGTAAAACAGCATAGAAGACCAAAGTAGGAAAAGCAAAGGATGCTATGGGTCCATACTGAGGGGTAACAGCAGCACTGGGAATGTTTAGGACTGGAGTAGCAAGAGGTACTGCAGATATGAACTAAATTGAGCTGAAGACACTTGCACTGGCTCGCAGCAGGCATACTTTGGTAAGCACTGCACCAAAGTACAGTATTTAAAGAACTGGCTAGGAGCTTCCAAACAGCCTAGAAAGCCTGAAACTTTCCCCTCTCAGTAGCTGTACTCCAAGACAGTACAACCTGTGGTGGACGGGTCATATTCAACCTGGGGGGAAGTGGGCAGTGGAGTCCCCCAGGGCTCGGTCCTTGGGCCCGCGCTGTTCAATTTCTTTATCAGTGATGTGGACAACGGGGTGAAAAGCAACTTCTTTAAATTTGCTGATGATACCAAAATTTGGGGTGAGGTGAGCACGCAAGTAGGGAGGGAAAGACTGCAGCAAGACCTGGATAGGTTACAGGGGTGGGCTAACAAAAACAGGATGTGTTTCAATACTGACAAGTGCAGGGTGCTGCACTTGGGCAGTAGTAACCAGCAGCACATGTGTAAGATGGGAAATGCCCTTCTTGAGAGCACGGAGGCAGAAAGGGATCTTGGAGTCATTACTGACTCCAAGATGAACATGGGCCAACAGTGCGAGGTCACGGTTGGCAGGGCTAACTGGACCTTGTCGTGCATCCACAGGTGCAT